CAACCACATGTGACGACCCCGGGCTGGACTCCGCTTCGTCCACGGTGAAAGTTTATGTTTTTCCTCAGCGACCAGCACGGATCAGCTCCAGGCATGACGAAGCGGATATCGTCCTCTTTTGGAAGACCAAACAAAGTAGTTTCGCTTTCACAATGAAACACACAGCGCCTTCACGACATGGCAGCGGCGTCAACAATACTACAGCGAGCATAAAAGCTACGCCTTCTTTCTTTGCGTGAACATTTGGGCAGCGTTATGCAAATCTTCCCACATAGTGATGTAGACATGTGGGGGCGTGTTACAATGAGCTGTTTTAGGTAGGTGTGGCTGACTCTTAACTTTTATAAAGAATATCTCTTTGGATTTGAGACTTTAGTCTTTGAAACTTTACAGATCTTCTTTATGCACCAAGAGCTTGTAACACTCCAAAGAGAAAGGAGAAATTGAAATCGCATCATATGACCCCTTTAAATCTACCCAAAGGGAGAAACTACAGCTCCTAGGATTTCCGGGTACGTAATGATGACGACGAATTTACTCTGCGAAACATGGATTGTGGCGACATGAGTTTATTTAGCGCTTTTCCCCCTGTGTCTAATGATTATTTGTGTTTGTGAGCACGATGTGCTTCAGTAATCGCGCTGCTATGGTCGCTGTGTTATCAGTTATACTGACGGCTGATCTCGGGCGGTGTGCGGCAGCAGATGATCAGACACACAGTAAAAACGATGCAGAATCTGACAGTAATAGAGCTGTCAGTGATTTACATGATCAGAGTACTGCTGATGGGCACGGAGAGCAGCTGATCAGGTATTACTTCATTACATAGCATCAGGTCGCTTGCAGTTTAACAGCAGAAAGCGTGAGTGAGGGAGTGATGTGGCGCATATTCAATGTTAATCACCACTATTACAATTACCCAACAACAGATACCATGGTCTTCTGTGTTATACATGATCCTGTATCATGGTATAAATCAAAGTACCGTGGTATTACTACCTGATACCATCTCTGTACCACGATACAGCAAGAGTATACATCTATTTACAGTTATAGGCCTATGTTATGCTGTATGAATATGATTCTTCTGTCTATTGATTGTTATAGACTTGTATCTTCAGATGTATCATCTTAATCTTTTAATGTTAATGTGTTAATGTTAAAGTGATTGTATGGTGAAATGTCATAATATTTGATGTAATACCATTAGTGCAGTCAAACGATTAATCGCATCCAAAATACACAAAATGCATGTATATATTTATGAAAAATATTTTATGTTCATATATTAAACATATTTATATATAATATAAAATGTAAATATTTTCTAAATATATATACTGTATGTGTGTGTATTTATATATACATAATAAATATACACAGTATACACATAAATATTATGTAAACAAAAACTTTTATTTTGGATGCGATTAATCGCGATTAATCGTTTGACTGCACTAAATAAATGCCATATGAAATGTATTCGTCTGACAGGTTAAATGGCACGGAAAGCTCCAGCAATGGCACTGTTCAGTCCACCACACCTGTGCCCAAGCCCTCGACCCCCGAGCCTCCTAAAAATGAGCCCATCCTGCCAGTGCAGACGGGCGTCAAGGCTCAGGAGGAGGAGCAGTCCAGCGGGATGAGCATTTTCTTCAGCCTGCTGGTCATTGGTGGGTAGAACCGGCTGTCAATGTGTTGGTCTTATTTCTTTTAAAAACGGAAGTTGTGATTTTTATTGCATCAGAAGAGTACTAAGGGTTTCTCCAGGGTGCAGCCGCATTTCCTTAGTGTTCACTCTCTTAAATGCTTAAGAGAGGCTGATTCTGTTCATGCGAGATGGTCAATGTTTTGATGTCTTTTTGAGTCTTGAAGGTAATGTATGTGTAACAGAACAGCTTAGACTCCTCTGGGAAGGTTTTCTGCTATGTGATGTGCTTTCATTCAGACACAATATTAGTGAAAAACAAGACAGCAACACAAAGTTAGTCACTTGAAGCTTCATGTATGGCAGCTAGTGCTAATGAACTGAGTGCTGATTGTAGTAAGCTGGCTGGTGACTCAGGCTGTATTTGTGTATCTGACACCACTGAGCCAGTGACGTCACGGTGAAACTCGTGAGGTTTCAGGTTGATGTTTTGGGATCGGCCCTCGGCGCTGATGTCATCTGTCCGCGTCGTTGCCATGTGTGTTTGCGTTTGGTGCATTGTCTGTATTGTGCGCGTGAGTGTAGTCTGACACACTGACAGGCTCTACATATGTGCTCATGAATTTGTTCGTAATGTCTTGGATGCTAGATATTTAATCTAGGTTGAAGTGTAATTATAAACCGGCACTAAACACATCACATCACTATGGGCTACTGTGACACAGTTCACCTGATGTAACTTATCTCTTTGTACCTGACTAGACCTTTACCTTTTAGAGAACATAGACATATGATATTGCATATTGAATAATGATATTTATTTGTTGTGTTTATTTATCGATTTTTTAAAAAAGTGATTTTAATCACAAAATGTCTGATTAAAAAGAGATGATGATGAAGGAAGAAGCACATGCAGATAAATACATAACATGCTAAAAGAAAAATAACATAACAATGTAACCTTTATTACCCATATGATACTGTTCAGAAGTTGGTGGTCAGAAAGATTTATAAAATGTTTTTGAAAGAAGTCCCTTATACTCACCAAGATTATTAAGCTCATTATTATTATCAGCGAAAACAGCTGTGTTGTTAAATATTTTTGTAGAAACTATGATAAATGTATTTCTTTAAATAGAAAATTCTAAATTAGACCACTGTTATGAAATATAAGTATTTTATATTATAGAAACCTTTACTATTATACAATTTTTCAGCTGTCACTTTTGATGTGACTTAAAAAACAGAAAAACAAAACATACGTATATATATATATATTTATATATATATATGAATGACACAGGGAAAAAGTATTGAACACATGAAGAAAGGGAGGTGCAAAAAGGCATGGAAAGCCAAGACACCAGCTAAAATCTATCAGTAATTAGAAAGTAATCATGCCCCTCGTCAGTGGAAATTAATATTAGCTTTAGTTTAGTCCCAACTGATGGCCTATAAAAAGGTGTCTCATTACCAACGTGCCACACAAGAAACATTTCATGATGGGTAAAAGCAAAGAGCTTTCTCAAGACCTTCACAACCTTATTGTTGCAAAACATACTGATGGCATTGGTTACAGAAGGATTTCTATACTTCTGAATATTCCAGTGAGCACTGTTTGGGCCATAATCCAGAAGTGGAAAGAACATAATTTCACCATAAACCAGCCACGACCAGGTGCTCCTTGCAAGATTTCTGACAGAGCAGTGAAAACAATTATCAGAAGAGTTGTCCAAGGGCCAAGGATCTCTTGTGGAGAGCTTCAGAAAGTTCAGGAATTAGCATGTACAACTGTTTCAAAGAAAACAATAAGTAATGCACTCAACCGCTGCGGGCTGTATGCACGCTCACCACGCAAGACTCCATTGCTGAAGAAAAAGCATGTTGAAACTCGTTTAAAGTATGCTGCACCACATTTGTACAAGCCTGTGAAATACTGGGAGAATATAGTCTGGTCCGATGAGACCAAAATTAAAGTCTTGGTATGCCATAATACACACCATGTTTGGAGGCCAAATGGCACATCACCCCAAAACATCATGTTGTAGCACTGGCAAAATTCATATAATTGAAGGCAGGACGAATGGAAAAATGTACCAAGATATTCTTGATAAATATCTGCTGCCATCTACCAGGATGATGAAGATGAAACGAGGGTGGACATTTCAGCAAGACAATGATCCCAAACACAGCCAAGGAAACTCTCGATTGGTTTCAGAGAAAGAAAGTAAAGCTGCTAGAATGACCAGCCAATCACCTGACTTGAAACTAATAGAAAATAAGAACTAAAGATCAGAGTTCCTAGAAGAGGCCCACAGAACCGTCAAGATTTGAAGACTGTTTGTGTGGAAGAATGGGCCAAAATCACACCTGAGCAATGCATGCCACTAGTTTCTCTTACAGGAGGCGTCTTGAAGCCGTCATTAACAACAAAGGCTTTTGTATTAAGTATTAAATACATTTCAGTAAGCGTGTTCAATACTTTTTCCTTGAGTCATTCCATTTTATTACACAGAACTTAATTTCTGAACTTATTTGTTTT